CAAAATAATCCTTCAATAATGTGATTATATGATTTTTAAAATTCTCCCTAGACTACAGTAAATACATGTATTGAAAGAGTTGTAGTCCAAGTCCAAGTTAAAAGCAAATTTTAAAGATAAAGCTTGGTTTAAAACTAATGGGGTTGTCTCTAGGGATTTTAAAGATTTTGTTCAGTCGGAATCAAACCAAATTCCCAATAGTTTAAAGCAAATTTCTAAAGTGGCAAGGTCTAATGAGTTTTCAGAAGGATTAGTTGCCCTTACTCAAGCCTTTACTGTGGTAATTTTGCGTGGTTACCATTCCCATGCAAGAATTCATCATGATGCTGGTGCCAATGGGGATAGGAATAACAAAGGAAGTCCAAGTTTCTTGAACAAGGTTTTTGAGAAGCCTGCTTCTCCAACTGGGTCTGGTTTTGTTTCTGTTATCGTTGGAAGCTTTGCTAGGGACTTGGTTCTGGGATTGTATGAAAGTGGTCTGAATTCAATTTCATATTTGAATGCTGCTGCTGATGGCCATGATTCTTTTCAAAAAGTGATGGGAGCGGTTTGTGGTGATAAGGGTAGAAAGCTGATTGTTGATTGTATTCAGTTATTTGTGAGCACAGCAGTTACGGATTACCTTGACAGGACTATGCATATCAACACCTATGATGAATTTTTTGCTGGATTAACCAATCCTAAGCACGAAACCAAAGTGAGAGGGGTGTTGGTATCAATCTGTAATGGTGCAATTGAGACTCTTGTCAAGACATCTCATCAAGTCTTGACAACTGATGATTCTAACTTGAATTCGAGTTCCGATTCACCTTATTTGGCCATTGATCAAGAAGAAAGTGCAATAGAGGATGCGGTATCTGGGAAAGAAGCATTTTTTAGTGAATCTATGACAAGAAAGTCAGTTGATTAAGGAGAACGGTTGGGTTAATAAAGTGTCATCTGCTTTGGCAGTCCCAAGCAACAGGAGGTTTGTTCTCGAAGTAACTGGGAGGGTTACGTTTGAGACTGTTCGGTCTTTCCTGGAGTTTCTGCTGGGGAAGCTATATAATGGAATGCGGAGATGCGTTGATTTTGCTCATGAAGTTGTTGTTGACACTGATATTGAAGTTATGAGATATGTCAAAGCAAAATCCTCTGTTATTGCAACCCTATGCATTTCTTTTTGCTTGCACATACTGGATGCTGCTTGGATTCTGGTTCCAGCTTAAGTGTTTGAATGTTTCGACATCATTTGTTATCGAATTCTCTCAAGTCTTTCATGCGACTTTTTGCGCGAAGAATGCGAGATGTATCTAATTTCTTTGTACAGCTCAGTTCATCTCGCATACCAGAAGAAGAAAAAGGTTGTTTGTTGATTCAATCTGGCTTCTTACTACAGAAGCTTCTTGTGTTTAACCCGTTTTGGAACTGATGCAATACTTCTATTTGTGTAGTAATGTTCAAGAGAATACATGTTTGGTAAAAGAACCTGTAGTTGGTTAATGACACCAGTTCCAATTATCCCTGTACACCCGTAAGATGAAAAGGAATATAGTCTGATAAGTTGACAAAATCCTCTGTTATTGCTTCTGGATGCATTACTCTGTGCTTGCACATATTCGATACTGCTAGTGTTATGTGCCAGTTTGAATTGTTGAATGATTCTGTATCATTTGCCATTAATTTAGTTTAAGATTAAGAGATCATATCTGCAGGTAAAGGAACTTGTTAGTAGTTTGTCGACAATGGTCGCTTCGCATGTATTCTTGGGAGCATGATCGCACAACGTATATAGTTGAAGAAGTTTAAACGCAGGAAACTTGCCTGCAGGCATGCTTTTATCTTGTAAATCTATGAATACCATGCATCTGTAGTGCAATTACATGATTCAATTTTATTTCTATTTCGCACTGGCTTTGTTTGGATTTTACAGTTATTAAAGAAGACTTCATCGATGACAGATTGTGCTTATAGTGGCATCAATTTGAGCATGTTGATTGTAGACCTCCCCGAGTAATGACTATGAATTGCCTGCTCAAAATTTGAGATAAAATTCTTCGGTGACTATGAGGAGCAATGCAGTGCCCGGTGCGGTTGGATTATAAACTTACTGCACTCCAGTGTTGAAGATTACTTTCAACTGCTGGTTAGCATTTTAACATGGTTTAGAGTAGCTTTCTAGATCATGCTCTGATTCTGTTTTGCATGTTGTAACTTTCTGATATATTATTCCTATCTTGTTTGGCTGTTACAAACTTGTACATTAGCTTTAGTTTTTGGTTAATGTTACAGGCTAAAAGTGACGGGGATAGTGGATATAGAAAGGACATGTCTCCATGCATTTTCTGTTTTGAAAGTACAAGAATTTACTCCAAAACTATTATAGAGATTGATTTATTATATGTCTCTATAAGTTTAAGGCAGCCTGTCCAATTTTTGGATTGTATTGATGTCATGAAAGCGAAGATAGTGTCAGAATATCTAGTAGTTGCATGTTTTCTCATGAAATGGGGCAAGGCAGAATGCCCTTTTCTGTTTGAAGATTTCCTTTTTTTGAACATGGTGCAAGTCTCTTGGCAGGATTTTGATAAAGCAATGGCTTTAGTCGTGCAGTTTTGCCACAGGCTGGTGATGTTTGCGGATCCTAAACCATATCACGTATAAATTTTCTTTTAGGATTACATCACTTGGCTTAGATACTTCTGCTCGTAGCCATCTGGGTTCTTAACCCTTTAGATTTTCAAGTTCTTCTTCAGGAATTATCTACCTAGTACTGACGTTTTTTGGGCCTCAAATTATAAATTGTTTTATAGATTCGTTTGAGTTATGATTTGTAATTAAGTGGGACTTAAAATGATTAGTTGTGAATTGGGATAACGATTTTTTCTCTCACTCTCTCCCTCCATGAATTAAACTAAAGATTGGCGGAACAAAATTCATAACAAAGGGATCTACGTCCAAGTTAGGGTCAGTATAGAATGCCTGAGCTGTCTTCTCCACACAAAGTTAGTTGATTGATCTGGCACAATTGAAGCTTCTTCTCAGAGAAGTTCAATAACATGGTAAACTTCACCGATTATGGCCTCGCAAGGAGAACAAAGTTCAGTAACATTCATTATTGGGTGGTGCAGCTCTAAGCCTGTTACGAGGTAAAGGTTACTTGAGCTTTTCTCCTTTGACCAGAAACAGTGTTTAACTTATCCTCTTACAGATGTAGCTGGGAGCCCATCTTATCTAAAATACAGTATCATGTACCCAGATTCTACATTTTATCAATTGAAAACAGTATCATGAACACATAATAAGCCTCTACAGTGTTGGAAAATTGATTTCTCTGCTCTTCTTATGAAGGAATTATACATGAAGAAATTCCAAGCGCTATCTGCTAGGTTGAGCTTGTGTCAGTCCCCTTTGTAGATGCCTCTTCCACAAGCTTCTTTTTCCAGTACTCATCAAGTTGGGGTCCAAATATTGCCTTCCCTGAAACAACTCCAATGCTGCAAAAGCCATACAAAGTCATTCCCTAAGCAGAAAAGACATGTTACTATAAAATCAAATGAAACCATAAGAAAATTTTGATTTGAAGCTTAATAGTTGACAGGTCATATTTACACAACATTGAGGTCATGAAAAAGCTGTATCGTTTTATCATCTATGGCAAAAGTAGTTTCAGATAAGATTATGTACAATTTCGCCATAACATTTCAGCAAAAATCAGCAAACCACTGACCAGACAAGCTCAAGGTTCTCCAGAATAGCTTAACCAGGTAAACTCAGAAGCAATTGAGCTCTATTAAATTCTGGTAAGAAGCCAAAAGGCAGAGCAAGGATTGCATTCTGGCTTCTGTCAGCAAATCATAAGGTGCGTGCAATCAGTCAAGATGCAGTGGAAGCTCGTTCCCTTGGTGACTGCCAATATCCACATTCTCTAAAACATCTATGAAAATCAGTTCAGACAATTGGGCTGTTTCAAGAACCAATCTACTAACAAGTCTTCAGACCTCGAAGTTTCTTTGAGATCAGCATCAAGATGAATTCTAGCTAAAAAGAAAAACATATCAACTCTCCAAAATTTTCCAATAATAGTTAAGACTTCTAATTTAGCTAAATTAACTCCATCTGTCTGTATAAAGAGGTAATGGGTCCTAAAACATGTGTTCTAAAGGGCTGAATTTAGAACACAAGCTTGGTTGTATGACCAAAAGACAGACAGCAAATCCAAGAAACATAAACCGGAAGAATGTGGAAGAGGAAACATGATGAAAACGTACACAACAGCTCCAATCACCAGAGGAAATGAGAGAAACCTGCTTCTGAAGAACATAATTTAAAAAAAAAATTTTAAAAAAATGGATTCGAAGATATTAAAGACATTGTTTTTCTTGCACTTGGACGCCGCTCTTCGATTTCAGGGTTGACCTTCCTGCATCTCTGCCTTTCAAGTGTTGAAGCTTTTAGTCATTTTTATTTTTTTTTGATCAAAGTAAAGATGGATAAAAAATTAATTTAATTTTCTTAGTCAAATCTTCTCAATGTTTAACATTGAATTTTTTTAATAATCAATTTAAGATTGGATTAAAAATTAATTAAATTTTGGTATATGAAAGCTATCTTAAAAAAAAAAAGTCATTTCAATATATATATATGAAATGCCTACTACAGCAGCCGACATGAAATATAAAAGAAGTTTAAACATGAAGAGGAGATTGTCAAATTTTGAAGATGTTGTTGAGATGATTAAATAATACCCATTTCATTGTCATATGCCTTTTGGTCGTGGGATTCAGCTAAAAAATTATTTTCATATTCTAAATTGTTCTGACAACTCTGAGCAAATTCTGGGTTTACAAGGAAAGTCCAACTCTAAAACCATGTGTGTGTATAGATATTAGCATCAAGGTTGCTAGCAGTTGCAAGTTGCAAATACTATTATATATATGTTCATAGTTGCAGCTTGAGAGATTACAATTGGCTTGAGACCATTTTATTCACCAGGAAGATATATTAAAGATTAATCATCTAGGTGGTGGCTCAGTGGTAAGAGCTTAAGACCAAGAGGTTTGCTCCCTCTATGGTCTCAGGTTCGAGTCCTGGGTTGCTCATATGATGACCACTAGAGGCTTACATGGTCGTTAACTTCAGAGCCCGTGGGATTAGTCGAGGTGCGCGCAAGCTGGCCCGGACACCCACGTTAATCTAAAAAAAAAAATTACGGTTTACGGGCATTCAAAGGGTTTCTTTTTTTCTTTTTCTTTTTTATTAATTAGAATATCCGTATCAATTTGCACACATCTCGATTAATTATACGGGTTCCAAACTTAACGACAATATAAACCTCCAGTGACTCAAAAATTTATAAAACTCGAACTTGTAACCTCGGTAAAACAAACTCAGAGCCTGATCAACACCCCTTAGGATTCATTCGAAGGCCTTCTTTCTTTCATTTACCATTGACATTCATGCAATCAATCAATGCTAGCTAGTTTACCATGATATAACTTCAATTTAACATTCTGAATCTTGTAATATCAAGAATCTAGTCTAGATTAGATTTCAAATTAACTCAAGCAAAACTTGATGTGATTAATTTGATTAAAATCTAATTTGTTTGACTTTATTTTAAAAACAAATCTTAAAATGAAATTATTTTGAAGTGACCGATGAATTCATTCAACCCATAAATCAACCTTTAAAAGGTCATTTGATAACACCTCCTCCATTGTTAAATCAAGTCTTTATCACCTGTGTTTATCTCTTGTGGGTTTTCTTTGAAGCATAAACATAGGTGCTTATCAACAATCAATCACATATGGCTAGCTAGACGTGGTCAAGGTAGCCAACTAGTCACGCCACATATAGTTATAGATAAGCTAGCAAAAAATGGGAGAGGAGGGCCATTAAAGACCATGTGTTCACAGCTTTGTCAAAAGGTATGGAGGATCATTTACTTATTTATGGTCCATATAAATGGGGAGAGGACGGACCACCACATTGATAATTCATGATAGATCCTTGCATCTCCAATTCTCCTCTTCTAGATGGTAATTGACATTTCTTCCCTGTACATTAATTAAGTCAAACAAAATTATTCCTCGTGGACCAAACTACGATCCCGAATCCATGGCTAATCTGTACAAAATCCCTATAAACTAATGTCTGTTTTTAAATAACACCCCTTAAAAGATTTTTGCCTTTTATTTTAATGAGTTAGCTATTGCATGTTTAGATTTATTTAATAGGTTTGGTTAATAAATTCGTTACATGCATGTGAAAATCACATGCATAACAGGCAAAAAAAAAAAACCTCCTTAATTAAACTATTGTCCATTTTGATTATTATACCCTCGAAGTTTTTTTTTTTTAGTAATTGAATTATTGTATGTTTGTATTTGTATTATCTTTCTTAAGTTCTATTAATAAATATATTAAAAAAATACGTGGAAATCACGTGTGTAACAAAAAACAATCCAAAATAATTGATAAATAAAAAATAAAACATGAAATAATATTAAAAGTAAATGGAGGTTGATAATTCTTTTACTTTTATTACTCAAGGGTTTTATTCCGATTATTTATTCCTATCCTTCAAGATTTAATTATTAAATCTTCAAGAGATTATAAATCAAAATAAACAATAATTCAAAAGATCTTTATACAAACTTACCCAAATTCATCAAATAGAAATTTAAAAGCGAATTTCTTAATAAATAATATATAATGGTGTTCTACGGATATCATTCACAGGTCTTCATTGAACTTTCTAATCAAATAATTCTTCTTTCATGATTTCAATAGAATAATCGATGCTATAGTTACCCAAAGATTATACGCTACACACTTACCAGAGCCGATAAACCTACCCATCTATCAAACCTTAAAAAATAAGGAATCTAAAGGTTTACAGTGACTATGTATTTACATGTTGTTTGTTTTCATAGCTGAAAGTGTTTTTAAAAAAATTAATTTTTTTTTATTTTTAGATTATTTTAATGTATTTATATTAATAAAAATAAATATTTTAAAAAATATATTGTTTTAATATATTTTTAAACAAAAAACTATTTAAAAAATAATTGTTATCATAGTGAAGCATTATCTTTGTCTTGTGTCAAAATTGCTTACCTATGTTTTATGGTGGCTTGATAAAAGAAAATGATATGCATGCATACAAATTATTCTAATTAAAATTCAAACGTATGTAAAAGTGATAAATGATGAGTAATTAATCCTATAAATCATGAAAAAGATTATGATTTGATGGAATATAAAATAGAATGGTTATTCTGTACCTCTATCTCTCCCGTCTTGTTTTTTATTTTTGTTTTGTTTTTTCTTTGTGAAGGTTTATTCAATGAAACTTGGTTTATGGAGATTTATTTGATAAATTAATGATAGTAGAGCCACTGATAGCCATGAAGTTATGTTTGCTCTGATTATTTATTCTATCTTTGATAAAAATTTATTATTTTATTACTAGTTCTTAAAGTGATAAATTTCTTAACTATTGGCACAAAGTCTGTTAATACAATAGACCTGAAGAATTAAACGACCTTTAAAATTATTATTATTATTATTATTATTATATATTTATGTTCACATGCAAAATAAGTGTGCTGTAATTACTTTCGGTTGCCTTTTTTGAATAAACAGTTTCAAGTTGAATGTCTTTATGATCTAAATACAGCGGAGAAAAAAGAGTCATGCTAAGAAATTATGTCCAAAAAAAATCAAAGAATACACATGAGTTATTATTTGATCATAATATTAAAATGAAATCCATTCATGAGCTCTATTAATTTAATGACTTGCATGTGATGATCCACTTGGAAAAAAAAAAAAACAGCCTGGAAATTTATTTGGGCCTCTACCCAGCACCACAAAAAAATTCTTAGCTTTTTCAAGTTACAATGAATTAGAATATGGCGCTGCAGACCACTCATGTACACATTATTTTTTATTATTATTTATTAACATATTTTCTAATATATTCTCTACCATTTTTACATAAAGTTATCAATATTTTTTCTAGCTAACAATCAAGGGTGCAAGCACACACCACATTCTATCTAACCAGGTATTTTATTTTCTCAACCAATTATTATTTATAACCAATGCATTGTATTATCCATTTCTCCAGCAATGAAGAGCCAAAAACTATAATTAATAGCAGGCACTAATATTTTTATCATTCAATTATCAATAAAATAAAATAAATTTACGAGATTCAGGTTTATAAATATCTTAAATCATCTTGTAAATAAAAAAAAATTTAGATTTAATAATTTTTATTTTATAATAAATAATTACATATTTTTCTTATATATATTATATATTACTTTTCTTGTAAAATCGTTAATTTAATTATTAAAGAATCTCTCATTTCATAATAAACTTGATTTTTAAAGAATAAAAAAATTTATAACTAAATTCAGATATTAAGTTCATAATTAAACAGGCATGTCTTGACTAAAATAACAATATGTGAAAAACTCAATTTATATTTAAAGTTTTATTCAAGATTTCATCAACTTGTATTTTTATTTTTATAATTTTTTTTATGTGTAACATTAAAATAAGAAAGGAATTAACTTATCCTCGAGAATTATTGAAAAGAGAAAAGAAAACCCTTGCACCAAGCAGTAGGTGGGATATCTTGATAATTGTGCCTATGGTTTTAGGGATTGATTAGGATGTCCTTGAAATCACTTTTGTTTCCTCAAAATAAGAGAGGTTCCTGTGATGAGATAATAAGACAGCTTCCTTCGAATGGAGGTGCTAGGATATTAATGTGTGTATTGAATATGATGGACTTGCCACTTGTCCTTGGTTAGCCGTGGACCGTCGATCACACATGCATTAATCCGAATGGTTGTTGTTAATTTATGTACCTAAACTCTTTGATTGGCAGATTAATACCAACATCAGAATCTAGCAAGGGCTTCACGACTCTTCCAGATATCCTAAGCACTGATCCTACTACATAGTAATTATTATAAATATAAATTATAATATAATAATATCAGTAGCCTGGCGTGGACCGGTGGAAAAATAGCTAGCTGACCAGCAGTGGTGAAATGTACACGGATTTAATGGAAGTTGTCGGATCAGTCAAAGAATTAATTGAGGAAATTGCAATGACTCGATTGAGAAAAGAATCATTGGCCGTCAAATCAGAGACAATGGCATCTTCCTTTCCCTTACACGCAAATTCAGTACATAATTAGTTGGTAAGCCTGAATCATTGAAGCCTCGAAGCAACTTTTTTAGCTGTAATTGCACAAGAAGGATCGTATGGGATTTTTTTACGTTTTTTTTCCCCTTGCAAAATGGTTTCTGTTTTTTCCTGTATATATATATATTTTTTAAAAAAGAACAGCTTAATCCAAAGGTTGGAATATACAAGGAAATAATTATGGAAAAACCCGACCCTATATAGCTTTCCAATAAGTCTCTGAATAAAATGGAACGATAAGAAGAAAAAAGAGAGAGCGGTAAGGCCTTGCTTCCTAACTAGCTAGCATGAAGTAAATGAGAGAACTTAGGATATTAGGTTATGTTTTGTATAAAATATATACATAAAATAAATCTATTTTTAATACAATATGAACTTTTGTAATTTTAAAACAGAAACATATCTTATATATCTTTATCTCGTACATCTCTAACATTTTGATCTCTTTTATGATCAAACGCTAATATTTTTTTTATTGTATACACCTACTGGGTGGAAAGCATACAAGTGACTATGAGAACTGGGAAAGGCAGGGGAAACCTAGGAAATTAATCCTCAAGTTATTATTCTAGCATAGAATCCATGCCCAGGTTATAATAAGTTACCATTTATAATACACCAACGCTACAAATATATATATATATATATATATATATATATATATATATATAGATAGACAAGTTACCTTTGAACAAATATTTATTATCATTTAAGCCAAGGAAACATCATACTATATGATGTCAAACAAAAGTATAAATATATTTCTCTTGACACAATATCCATACATATATAAGACCATTGTAGCAGTACTTCATGGTTTGTTCTTCTGGGTATAGATGTAATCGGTGTGAGCAGCAAGTGTCCTTCTCA